GACAAAATACTTCCCACACTTACAACACAGGAACATACGTAAAAGGACAACTTTCTGATGCTAGGATAATTAAGTACTCTTACGTGTAACCTTGGTCATTCTAACCAAGTTATTACCATTATCACCCAGACAGATTAATTTCACAGCACTGCTTTCACCACCCCTACAGAAAAAATAAAATTAAAAAATTCACTACAGGGGTTTAAGTGGCTATTCAGGCAGGAAGGGACCCAAGAAGCTTCCAGAATTTATAGTACAGGCCAGAGCCTTATATAAGTTGGAAATGAGCTGAAGCAACGAGATGGGAGTTTATGTTAAGCCTGTCCTGAGGATTTGCAGTAAGGCTCAATCCTCCAGGTGACAGTCATTCATCCCTTTGTCACTTGATGCAGATACACTGTTGCAGATACATTCTAGATGTTCTGGACTTTTCCATCCACGAGGGTCTGGCAGGTCTGAACCAACTACTTGGTACGAAACAACATTCCTCTAAATGCCTTAAGTCACTGCAGTTTGCAACTGAGCACTCAGTAATAACATGCACCCAAAAGAAAGCAAAGAGGACATCTGAAAGTAGGTCCCACTAAAAGGGAAAAGAAATTCCACTCTGGAAAAGAGTAAGTAAAGATAAAATAAGTTACTAAACTAAGGAACAAACCACACACTAGTAAGTAATAAGAACTCTATGAGTTGATTTTTTAACAAGAGCTTTTGAAAAAGGACACAAAACATTGCATATCAGTCTACTGTAGAAAGTAAAAAATAAAAGAAAAAAAAAAGGCATTTATTTCCTTCATTTTCTTAAACATCATAAAGATTCCAGCTTCAGAACACAAGATGACATCAATGAAACTACAAGACTTTAGAGTAGCCAAGGAAGAGCCACTCCTCTAACCCTGATGAATAGATGAATATATTGGTCCTTTAGGGTATAAACATAGGTAGCCTGCCACAGACTTCAGGCCCAAACTACCTATCTTTTGCTTTATAAATAGGAGGAGGGTAAAGAATGTAACTGTCTTTTCAGATTAATACAAATCCTGCAGGAAGCACAGGGAGATAGAAACAATTAAGCAGTTGTTTTCCTACTTACTCCAACTCATCAATGACATCTTCTTCCTCCTCCTGCTGTAAGGATGAGCCAGTTTCCTCTAGACCTTGAGGAATCCCAGCTGGCATTTCCTCTGCGAGTTTCCATACAGCTCAGTCCCGGTAGCCTCTGAAACTCCTTCCTATAGATTCAAGGGATCTTGCAGGAGCAGTTGCCTGCAGTAAGGATTAAAAGCATGAATGCACAGCTGAACAGGACAGCAAGACAAATAAGGTAACTTAACTCCCACCTCCTGTCAATACATATTTCTCACAGAACTATTACCAAGCTTGTTACAGGCAGTAAATCGCCTACTAACCAGACGAGTGCAAGAAGCAGCATCACCTTCCAGCAGATTTTTCCCCACCTGCCCGTGAGAGTCATTCAGGCACTTACGGCTAAAGCGCGTCCTGCCCTGCCCTGCCCTGCCCTGCCCTGCCCTGCCCTGCCCTGCCCGCAGCCAAAGAGCCGCACCAGGCTGGCCAAGCCCGCCCAGCCCAGCCTAGCGAGAAACTCCCGCTCCTCCCTGGCGCCGAGGAAACGCCCAGGGCCAGCGCTTCCACGAGCACGGGAACAGCTCTGCGGCCGGCCGCTTCCGGAGGGGAGACTGGGGCCCGGCCTACACAGCGGCGGGCAGGCCCGGTGACCTCCGGCGGCCCCAGGAGAAACAAGAACCGCGGGGAGCGCCGAAGGGGCCACAACTCCTGCTCCGGTGCCAATGGCCCCTCGCCCTAAAACAGTAATCCCCTCAACTCACCCGTACCTGTTCCCCCATTACCCGGGGTGGGGCGCGCCGGGCCGGGTAACCGGACACCGCGGCTCAATGGCAACAGCCCCTCCCTCCGCTTCCCCGTTACCACAACAACCCACAGACTGACCCCGCCTCTTCTCCACTGCGCATGCGCCGGTCACCGACAGCCAGCGCGCAGACACAACAGTCCTGCCGGACCCCCAGCCGCGTCCCCGCCTACCGCCGCAGTACCACCTCCTCCCTCATGGTGGGCGGGGCCAAGGAGGGGCGGGCTCGCCTCCCTGGCGCTGAGCGATTCGATTGGCGGTGGAAGCCCTCTCGTCAGCGTGGTGCGCGGGTGGAGTGGCGCGCCTGAGGCCAATGGGAGTGCTGGATGGCGGCGTGCGCTACTGGAGGGGGCGGGGCTCCGGTAGCGGGTGGTGTGGTCCTTGCGGGCAGGGATCGTGCCGGCGGGGAGAATGAGTCGGTTTCTGAATGTGCTGCGCAGCTGGCTCGTGATGGTGTCGGTCATCGCCGCCGGGAACACGCTGCAGAGCTTCCGCGACCACAGCTTCCTCTCGGAGAAGCTGTACACCGCCAGCCCCGAGCTCGGTAAGAGCCGCGCCGGCGGCTGCTGTCTGGCCCGGGAGCGGCCTGCTCCCCGGCGGGGGTGGGAACGGCGGGCGGGGCTGTGCGTGGTTTCCATGTGCTCTCCCCTCTTTGCGCAGTGAACGGGCTCCAGGCTCGGACTTTCGGGGTCTGGACCCTGCTGTCATCGGTGATCCGCTGTCTCTGCGCCATCGACATCCGCAATAGGACGTACGTAATGGAGTGGAGGAGCAACGGGAAATCCATGGGTTTGTTTGCTGTCACAGCCTCAGCAGTAGCTCACAGGGCGGCGCGGAGGATATTGGGATCAGAAGCTGTGCCTCATCTTTCTATAGGGTTGAAAGCGTTCTCCCAAAAAAGCCTAAATAGCAGTGTGGGATTTATATGTTAACTGGTGCTCCCTCCTGCCTCTAAGGGGAGAGCCTGCCCATTTGAGTTCTGTTTCTTAGCTCAGGCAGAAATTAATAGAACTGAGAACTTAGGTCAAAAATTTCTGAGCTCCAGCTTGGAAAGCATCTTCGGATGGCATTGCTGGCCTGCTGACATTAACTAATTGCTAATGCTGTGGTCTGACTGATAGTGCTTCTTCTGTGACAGCCCAGCTAAAGACTGTGGCAGGTTGAGATGCCCCTTGAAGAAGTCTTCCACATGCTCTTACTGGCGGCTAAGGACAAGGCCTGAGGTGCAGCCTGATGCTGTGCTGGGAGGAAGGCCATTTCAACCCCACAGCAGAAGTATCACAGTATCACAGTATGTTAGAGATTGGAAAGGACCTCAAATGATCATCTAGTCCAATCCCCCTGCCGGAGCAGGAACACCTAGATAAGTAACTTAACCTGGCAGCATGTCCTTGGGTTGCTTGGGCTTGTCTGTGGTAGGGAGGTGGAGGGACTCAATTATCTGTTTTTAGGGGGTGATGACAGTGCCAATTCCCAGTGAGCCAGTTGTTTAAGATTGTCTCTTTTGGACCTGCTCCTTTTAACAGCTGTTGCCCCTAGAGGGTAGCAGAACACAAGTGGGAAGTTGTGTTGGGTGATGCAGCCTGGAGTCAGCCCAGTCCTGCCACCCTAGTTCTCAGTTCATCCAGTTCTCACCTTTAAGTGCCCTCTGTGCTACCACAGTGGGGACAGATGGGGAACCATGCAGGTATGTCTTTTTTCTACTCAGCCATGCTCATGTTCATACCATGGGATACATGATAACTTACTTCTTTCTGCTCTCCAACAGCCTCTATTACATCACACTCTTCACCTTCTTTTTGGCCCTTGTTCACTTCCTTTCTGAGGTCTTCATTTACCATACTGCAGCCTTGACAATTGGAATTATGGCACCCCTCATGGTAGCAAGTAAGTAGAGCTCTGCATCCTCTCCCCACAAACTCTCCTTGGAGCTGTGACCCCTCCCCCACCCCCCCGAAAAAAAGTCTATGGGGCTAAGACATAAAATCAGGGAGGCAGTAGTGGGAGGAAATACCTCATCCCCTGCACAAACTCATGCAAACTCATCTTGTGTCTCTGTCACAGGTTTCTCTGTTTTGGGGATGTTGATTGGGCTGCAGTACCTGGAGGTAGAAGCACTGTCACAGAAGAAGAAGAAAAACTGAAGCTGAGGGCCAGGTGTAGGTCAGCGTTGTCTCCTATCTTCACTGCCAAAACTTCCACTAAACTCTAGGACACCAGGCCCACTAGTGGATCGATGTTGGACTGTCAATGTCTCACCATTACCAAGTTTTTTTCTTGTCTGGAGAACATTTCAAATGACTGATGTCAAAGACCAAGTCCCAGAGGAGTTTGTGTTAAAGCTTGCAGGGGCCAGTTAGTGAGTGCCTCCCTGGAGAGCAGGCAATGTCTCGTGCACACCCAGTGCATTAAGGACTTCTCTTCCAGGGTGTGGAGGAGGTGTACAACAACCCAGGATCAACTGAACTCTTCAGACCAGAGAGAGAACACGTACTGCCCCTGGCACTGCTATGTAACTTGCATGTGTGTGTTCTTCAGGGGCCTTTCTAATAAATGGCAGAAAACTACAAGGCACTATGTCTGTGTTTCTGCCGCCCAGCAGCAGGTAAAGGATGTACAGCCTGAGAACAAACAGCAGATTCTGTAAAATAAACCCTTTCCCTGACTCCTTCCCACAAAGTTGCAGGTCTGACTGTTCACATCACACACAGGCACACACACAGAGTATTGCTCCAGCTCTTACTTCTGCAGCATACTGGTGACAGCAAACTGCATGCATCTGAGCTACCTTTGCTGTGAGTTAGAACTTACATAAGACACAGAAAACAGGATCAGGTTGCTTAGACCTAGGTGAAATAATGCCCAAAGCAGATGGGCAGTGCACAGAGGGCAGGAAGCAGCAGGATCTCCTAGCTCGGAGGACAGTGCATGTGCAGAAGAAAAACACAGAAGGGAGGTAAAGCACAACAGTAGCATTGGGCAGAATTCCTTTTCCATTCTGTAGAACATTTCAGGCTATTAAAAGAGCCAGATGTAGACTGTTTCAACCATTTAATATGAATGTGTCAGATTTCATTGTACACTTCAAACGTTTTTATTTTATATATATATATATATATATATATAAACACTTCTATTGAAAAGCCATTTTAGATACTCACCCTCAATCCCTATGAGACAGGAATTGAATCTTTTAACATGTCAAAGACTGCAGTTTCACACCCACACACAAAAGTTTTGTCAAAAATGGTATGTCAGAGAGGAATATTTTTATCCATTCTACCTGGTTGTGGCTTTTGATTTAAGGAGTATAAGGACACTTGATGTCTCCACCAGTGGAGGAATGCTAGAAAAGAAGGAGGATCTATATTTGTGTTAAGAGAAACAGCAGCATACAAAGTGGCAGTGTCTATGAGACACAAATGCTGGTAAGAGGGCTTCTCCTGTTCTCTTATTACAAAGTGTGAAGCTTCCATGCTGGAGCAGGTCTGGATTCCAATCTTACTCAGCCTTGGCTGGTTATCTCAATATAACACTTCACAAAAGTTTGTACGTAGCACTGAAACATGCAAAAGGCACTTTATCATTAAGGAGGAAGACACAGTCCTCAGCCTGTGGTTTGACTCATTCCTGTGGCTAGTGTAGCGATGAACTAGGCTTAGGCTACAGCTTCAACATAAGCTGCAGAACTAGTCCTTGTCTCGAGGTAGGAGGATTGGTGTCTCTCAATTATTCCTAACATATAGGAACATCAGGGCAACCTCAGTGAATTCCAAGCAGGGGTTTATCCACAAGAGTATTTCATCTGGGACAGCCATGTAATAAAACCAGAGCCAGCACTTGCTGGTGATGTGCTGAGGCCTCTACCATCGCCTGTGCAACACAGAGCATCACAGGTACCAAAGCAGAGCAATCCCTCATCCTGAGAGACAGCTGAAAGCTTTTCTAGGGCTGCTCACAGAGCAAGCATGGTCCAGCTTCTGCACTTTGTCACAGCTTGCCTGTGAGAGGAGAGACAGACACATCCAGGGTGCCACCCTCTTGTTCTCAGGGATAGCCTGGACCTATTCTCAGCTCTGTGCTTTTTCAAGCATACACGTTGGGGTAGGGGGGAAAACAGTGGGTTTTCCCAACTTTTCTTCCCAAGCAGAAAAGTCTCCAGAAGAGCAGCGTGCAGACATGTAACTGAAGAGAGCAACTACCTTCTTGTTTTGCTCTTTCACACTCTTCACTGGGCTCCTATCCTGAGGCTTCCCCCCACTCCAACACCACCCCTCCCATGGTGTGCATATAACAGGAGGATGGGTTTGGTAGCAAAGATGGGAATGAGGGGGACTGCATTCCCCTGAATGGAGCCACCCCTCCATTCACAGCTTTGATTCCTCAAGGACTATGGGATCAGTGCAGGCTTCTGGCATCACTTTCTGCAAGTCAAACAGAGAGAAACAACATGATTAGGATCCTGGCCGACCAGACCCAGGCTTCAGAGAGACTGGCTGGCCAGAAGCTGGCTAATTTGCAACTCCCTGCTCGATTGCAGAAATCCCCAACCAAAAACCACCATCCTGAGAGTGCACCTGGTTCCCTTCTCCAGATCCTTCTATTGCCCAGATATGGGGCACTGAGGCAGCAGGGCAGAGCAAGGGTCCCACTTCCCTCTCCCTACTTGGTGTAGTCCTCAGACCACAGTTAACACACAGAAGCAGTACAAGGCCCAGAGGTCAGCCCTACAGACAGCTCACTGAACGTATTTCACTGTGGCACAAGATCAGCCTCAAAGCTTCAGGGCCAGTTCCCTGGGCAAGGGAAGGAACTGGGAACTCCTTCATGTCATGGGGCAACAGTGTCTATGCAAGCACCACAGAGAATCTGTATGCCATGCTCCCTCAGGAGGCTCAGCACAGCAACTACCTCCACCCTGTCCTTACTCTGGCTTGCCTGAAGGTCTCTAACTCCCAGAGAGATTACTGGTTCTGCTCATTTTCATGTCTTTTCATCCCCACCCCTCATTCAGGACTGCCACCCTCTGCCCCACATCTTCCCTGTCCCCAGCCTGGATTTATGGCTGGAATAATTCCAGAGTGGTGCAGATAAGGCCTTCAAAGTTCATTACTTGTATCTTGAAGAGCCATAAGAAGTAAGAGCCAAACATACACAAGTTTGGGACTTTTCCTGCATAAATACTAGAGAAGAATTAGTCTGATTACTTGAACCCTCCCAAAATTTCTTCGCTTAACATAGAGGGAGCTGTAATTTCCCAGAGGAGGAGCAAGGACAACCAAAACTGCTGCCAGACTACCACCCTACCCTGGGCTGCATGAAACAGCCAAACTTTTACAACTCCAGCGTTCCTGGCTGGAGTTTGATGAGCTCTTCTACTGAGCCACTCTGGGCTGTGTTAGGATTAAACTGGAGACTTCTTTCTCCAGAGGATTTCTGCTTACAGTGAGACACCCCACTTGTCACTGATTCAGAAGACAGCATGCAGACTTGCAAGGGTAAATGTGGCATATCCCATGACCTGGGCTCTAAGTTAACTCACTGTGGGGCAAGACTGACATCTGAGGCAGGAGTCAGGGGTGCATAGGAAAGAGGTTCACATCCCCAGTGCAGTTCAAGAGAAGTCCAGGGAGCATGGAAGCAAGAGATAGTAAACAGTTTAATTTTGAGTAACCTCTTACACAACTGCAGGTAAAAAGGTTTTATAGAGGTCAGCAGCAATATCCCAAAGCAGAGGAGTGAGATCAGGAAAGCTTCAAAGAGGTGCCTGGCAGCAAAAGCCAGGAAGCGCACAGAGGGAACTCATAGCGGCAGGAGGGCTAGTGGGGTGCATGAAGTAGTGCCAGAGGTAGGAGTAAGGGGAAAGCTGCATTTAGGCTTGGGAAACTGCAACAGAATGCATTATGGAAGAACTCTGAACAGGCTCTGCAAACACCTGTGGGGTCTGAACACTACTCACCTGCTGAGGAGCTACAGGAAGAGAGGTTTTAGGAGAACAGCCTGCCTCGGGGCTCCACCACCTCCGGAAAGGAAGGCTGCCCTCACAGCTGGGAGTCACAGGGCTGGAAAAGGGTATGCGAACAGCCTGATCATGGCTTTGCGACAGGAGGAGAAGGCTGCTTGCCACACAGTAAGCACAGAAAGGGAGCAGGCAAGCCTGGGGAGCAGAGGATGCAGTACACATTGTGCCTACTACGCAAAACTCTTGGCAGTATTTCATTAGAGTAAGCATGCTACAACTTAAAAGGAACTCCAGTAAGCTACTGAGGGTGGATGCTTGACCTAAAGCCCTAAGCTGGTCTAAATCACAATGGCCTTGGGAGAAAAAGGCAACATGTTTTTTGGTACTACACTGAGATCCAGCTGATGCATCTTTGCATCCAGGCAAAACATATAACCAGCAAATAAGGTAGTTGGGCCTGATGGAGTCCTGACTTATCCAGGACATGGTTTGAAGACACAACAGAAATTCAGTCCTATTTTAAACAAATCCCTTGCTGTGGCTGTACACCTAGAGCAGGTCACTGGTCATCCAAAATCATCCACTCATCAGTGCTCAGCCCTGCTGGTAGCATTAACACTCCAGACAAAGTATTTTAATTTCGTTACAATTAAGAAACCAGGACAAAGTCTGAAACCATTTACTGCATATGCATACTCTCTGCTATCAAGAATAGATTCTTCATACACGCACATGTGCGTGCACACCAAAAACTCCATTTATCTACCACTAAGATAAACAGTGTAAGTCCAGCACAAAGTAGTCTCAAGTGCTTTGAACACACATAAATCAAATCTGAAAGTTTCAAAGAGGCCTAGCAAAGCCTGGTTTGAACTTAAATGCAGGCCTGCCATTTTGGAATCCTTCACTCTATAGGATAGCTGCCTTCTTAAGAACCCACACAAGATTGAAAGTATTTCAAACAAATGTTGCCTAAGGCTTTTCTTGAACAATTCACTCCCGAGTCAAAACAATCCATGGAAACTCAGCAAAGATACTTATTTCATAATGCAAAGCACAGGAAGTTTTGCATGGATGCTGGAAACCAGGAGCAGATGAGCGAAAGCCATATGCAGCTGAATCAACTGCCCCTACTATGAAACCTTGAGGCATAATGTTGGAATGGCTTCAGATGGGATTACAACAAAGGCAGCCCACAAAGAGACTTATTATAATGTAAAACGGGCATTTGATCCAAGTGTGCTGAGACACAGAAAGCTAACCCTGCTGGCACTCTCTGAACTGAGGCAGACTGAAGTGGGAGGATTGCTGGAACCACACTCCTGCTTTATTACTAGAGGGCAAGATGTCCACAATATCATTTGGCTAATTTAGTTTCCACTACAAGTTCTACTAATTGCAATATCTGTTTAATTATAACTGTAAGCAGATAAGGGCACTCATAGAAGACAAACTGCTTGTGAACACAAGGCAGGTCCTGCAGAAAGGGAAACATAATAAAGCATGGACACAGCGGCCAAAAGCTCTGACAGGTGGCTGCTAAGAGGCTGATTCCTAGACAGAGTCTCAGACAAATGAACACCAAAGATCTACCCTGCTAAAACTGCCTCAGACTGCAGCACAGGCACAGCTTCTGAAGCACTCATCCTGGACTCAAATCTTTCCCTGTCCATGGGACTCTTCCTTACGCTTGCATTAAAGTGTGGCAGCTACCCATTTCCTGTAGCACACACTGTAGTGTTAGCAGGATTGAGGCTGTTCTTCCCAACGGACTCACTCTGCTTTTGCCTGTTAGTCCTGTTGATTGTGCCAGTGATACACACACTCAATGAGCACCTTGAAAAGCAAAGGGTAGCGTGGTTAATTTGGCAGATCAGCCAGTCAGTGCAAAGCAGAGGACAGTGAGTAATAAAGCATTATGCCCCGAGCAACAGCTGAGAAAATGCCAAGTGCTACTGAGATTCACACATCAGCAAGCATAGAGTTTTACAATTTTCATTCTTATACCAAAAGGCACCAACCCAATGACTCTGTTATTGCTAGATGTTTTTAAACTTCTTTCTTGAAGTTGGCCATGCATCCTGGCTGTGATCAAGCCAACTCTTCTACAGGGCTCCTGGTATCACTTCCAGCCAAGAATCTGGACTGTAAAAGTAATGTCAAAAAAGATTCTCCAAATGCCTCTACCTCCTCTCCCTAGTAACCTACTGACAATTCAGATCTCCATCAGCTCCAGCACTAGGTTTTGCCTTGCTACACTTAGCTGAATCTCTATGCCCCTATCTGACATGAGTCTGGTGGGATTCTCCACTCTGCTGGTGAAGCCTGCCTTGTCTTTCCTCTCAGATGGGTAGCTGAGAAGGACAGAAAGATTCTCTACTCTGTGGCCATTGCTATCACCCCAGAAGTGCCATTGGCTTGGTGCCTGTACCAGCTGTACAGTGTTCAGAGAAGCAGATTAGTGTGATTCTCCTACCTTTGTGTATGAGCTAGTGAGCAGGAATGGGAATTGATGGTGTTAGGGTTACAAGCTACAGTCCCATAATCCATGATCTGATTGCTGCCTTGGAGTCTCTGTAACAACACCCACAAGTCACCATACCAGAAAAGCTGGAAGCAAGTAGGGAGGGAAATGAAGGGGGAAGGGGGAGGGGAGAGGAGAGATAAAAAAAAAGAGGAACAGGCAAAGCAAGAAACTAGTAAAATCATGTGTAAGTAAAAGCATGTGTAAGACAGCTATCTCATGTAGAAAAGTTCCAGTACCTGACTCCAGAGCACTCCACAAAGGCAGCACAAAATGCCCAAGCCCCACTGGCTGCTCCCCTGACTGAGGCATGCATGTTAGCGCAGAACACCAGGTTCAGTCTACCTTCAGTTTCTTGAGCACTTGGGGTTGTTAAGCTTGAGAAGCACCCAGGCGAGTTCAGCCTTGTGGTGGACACATTTGGGGGTGTGGTGGGGTGTCTGTCATGACTCCCTCAAAGCATGAGTCCTCAGGGGGAAAGAGCTGCCAGTGAAGTTTTTGCCTGACTGAGACCTGTTACCTCTCACACACCCCTCTAGTTCTTACTGCTGTCAGTTCTGGGGGCTTTTAGTATTATAGAAATGATACCTGTATCACATTGTCGCTGGGCTCAATGCCCTCTACTCTCCAGCAGCAAGCTTTTACAACTGTATTTATACAAAAAGATTTAGACTAAAAATGGCTTAAGTAAAAGTGTACAGTTCATCTGGCGAGAGAAGTGATTGACAAAGGGAAAAGGCCTTACTACTACTAAGCATCATGCCAGAGAACCTTGCTATTTCCTGAGCCTTTCACATACATGGTATGAATTAACTCAGTGCCACCAGCACCTCTCATTACAACCCTGCTGCCTCAGAGCTTGCAGAGGATGGTTTGGTCTTACAACTCATCTTTTGTCTTTGACTTCAGTAGTATTAATTGCAGGATACAAGCAGCTTTCCATATATTAAAATAGACTGGTCTTTACCCAGGCTCAGCTTAGCTAAGTGTGTTCCAATTAGTCCCATTCACACCAGAATTCTGGCATAGCTGTTGTCTTCTAGTTGTCCCATAGACCGTGATGCTCACCACTGCTAAAATCACCCAAACCTGCAAGTCTCAGAGCAGGGAAAAAAAAAGCAGGCATTCTTCTTAAGTTATGACAGTGGGGCAGGGGGGGAGCTGCTTTATCCAAACCAGACAAATTGTAGAGTATTACCCCAACCACGCCTAGTCTAGAATTATATTTGCAAGAATTACTCAAGGTGACATTAATTCCCTTCACTTATCTTACTGTCTTTGTGCTCGGATAGTTCAGTAAAAATAAATGAAAAAATAGAAACCAAAATAAAAATAAAAAGCATATATTTTGTAATTGAAAATCCACCTCCCTGAGCAGCCAGTCGGAGCAGAGCAAGACGTTCTGGTCTCTCTCCAGATCAGACTGGTTAGATTAGCTGAAGGAAGGCAGCACTGTCTTCTGAAGAGTGCTGACTCGAGCCAGCAGAGAACTGAGCTTATGCACTTGCTAGTCATGGTTGCTGATGGCTTCATGAATGTTGAGTGGATGTCTCTGCTAACATCCTAGAAGAGGAGCCCAGAGCAATAAGAAAGAGAACCTCAACCACCAGTCCCCTCCCTTTTCATGAAGGGAGAGCTTCTAAGAGAGTCGGCAGCTGAGGACAGGGAATAAGGGGAATAACCTGCCTTCCCAGGGGCTGGAATGACAGTTACCCAGCTCTAAACAACGGCAAAGCACTGGTAGGCTCAGTGCTTTGTCAGGGGAGTGAAGCAAACAAGCACTGTCCTATATCCGATCCTAGCTGATACGAAGATGTGTGAAGCCCTGCACACGCTCTGAGGACCAGAGCCTACAGATTCTGTAGTAAATAGAGACCCCAGCAGCTGGCAGAGCTGGGATTACACCACCTGTCTTAAAATGCCAACAAGGAGCTTCCCCACGGGCTAGGCAAAAAGTGGTGGGATAAAAGAATCACAACTGCAGTCATAATTTGGAAAGGGCCATTCTCATTCCTAGAAAGGAGAGAGGTTGGGTGTTATCCTAAGCAAATAGCAGGGGCACAGCAGGAATTGAAGGAGGATTTACTCACTGTTTGTTCGTTATCCAAATTGGCCTGCTGTCTTCGGAGATCAGCCTTAATGAATGCTGGAAAAGACACAGGAAGTGAGATGTGAAGGCAGTTAAGTCACGATGCAAAGTCCGTATCAATTTCTCCAGGACTCAGAAGGGCACCACAGGCCAAAGAGTAGACAGGAACATATTATGGTGAGCAAGGGAAGCCATTCTCCTGAATGAGGCAGAGAGCTTTTCTGAAACAGGCAGGATAGAGACTCCTTACTGCACCATGTAGAAGGTGCATCTTTGAGACTCCAGCCAGCAGACAGGGCAAGAAGCCTTGGATCTTCTCTTAGCACAGACCAGATGCTTAAAGGAGCACAGCAGCTACGGGACTGCTCTGTGGGTCCTGCCCTTTTCTGCAGGCACCACTACACACAAAAGCCCTTCAATTCATATGCCAAGCCCAAGGGGAAAAAGTCACAGAAGCAGAACACTGAAAACTTTAATTACCTGTCATAATGGTTCCCAGTAACAGGAAGGCACAAAGAAATAGGTTTCCTGCCTTCGTCCCAAAGTGATCCATGATTTGCCCTTGGCAAACGGTGAAGGCAATACCAAAAATCTACAAATAAACAGAGGCAGTGTCAAGCTGTACTATTATTGTAAAGCAGCCCAAACAGCTTCCCAGCTTTACTGACATATCAGAACAGACAGGCCAGCCAAGCTGCAGGCCTAGTGGGGATAAAGTTTGGCTATAAACACATATCCAGAGGCACCTCCTTACAGCTGATGGGAAGACAAATGACCCTTAAGGCTAGAATGCCAACAGACAAGAGACTGTTAGGGGCAGTGCTGGAAAAGGCAAGGATGACTAGCATTCTGACATACTTTCCTAAGTAGAAACAGAATGGGTGCCACTAAAGAAATGCCATGAGGAACATAATTCAGAAAGCCAGGGTGCGTAGATCTGCAGTGCATTACAATAATCATGGACAAGAAACAGGAGTCAAGGCTGGGAACTACAGTTTAACCTCTCTGCCTGTGAAGAGGCAAGCAAAAAAGAAAACAGCACACCTACCTGTGCTGAGACATTAAGGAGCCCTGATGATGTTCCTTCTGATTCCGGGTATGTCAACTCTGCAGCAAACTCAAAGCCCAGGGGAAGGTATCCCGTCATGAAAAACCTGTAAAGAAACATGTGGACAGGAAGACTCGGCAACTGGGAGAAGGAAGACAAGAGACAGTGTAGCCCATATGTCTTTTGGGGGGCTTCACTGACTGCACAGGGTGTTTTCCCTAGCACTGTCACAGCCCAGGCACCTGTCTCACTCCCTCACCACGGCACAGGTCTTCCTCCTATCAATACCTTTGCCCACAGTCTCAAGGTGCAGAGGCAGGCCAGCAGGGAGCTGCCAGTTGCTACAAGAAGGAATTAAAAGCAGTATCTCCCACAAGTACCTCTACGGGGCAGCATCCCCAGCACAGCCAACAGCCACCCAGGCCCACATGCTTTTCATTCCTACCCATGGGTGTTGTGGTTTAAGCCCAGCCGGCAACCCAGAACCATGCAGCTCCTTGTTCACTCCCCCACCTTCCTCTCCCCACTGCAAACGTGGGGCACGAAGCCGACGAACTCTATTGTATACGCTCTTGCCTGCTATGTAGCACCTTTACAGCCCACCAACTTGATGTCTTCAGGTCACCAGCAACTGGCCCTGACTTCCCTCTGGCCATCATTCCAACAAAGAATGAACTTTGATGAAACCAGACGAGCTCAGCAGTGGCGAGTTCTGCGGTGCCATCAGCAGGCAACAATCCAACACTGCACACTGTTTCTACTGCTCTGAAAGACTGCTAAAAGAGATGGAACCTGACATCATGGACTGGATGACCTCAGCAGCTTTACAGGGATTGGTCCATGCACTAAGGAATGATCTCTCTCTCCCTTTGTGTGTGTGTGTGTGTATATATATATACATATATATACGAGACAAGAGTGATCGTATATTGAAAAATGTGGGATCTGAGCATGATGTGAATGGCACGGAATAAGGGGCGGTTACTGTCCTGAGTTCAGCAGTAGCAGTCATTTTTTTCCTTCTTAGTAGCTGGTGCAGTGCTGTGGTTTTGACTTTCAGCCTGGGAACAGCGCTGATAACACCAATGTTTTTAGTTGTTGCTAGGTAATGTTTACTCTGACCAAGGACTGCCAGGGAGGAGGTGAAGCCAGGAGGAAGCAGAGAGAGGACACCTGACCCAAACTAGCCAAAGAGGTATTCCATACCACAGCAAGTCATGCCCAGTATATAAACTGGAGGCAGTTGCCCTGAAGGGCTAGATCACTGCTTGTGATCTAGCCAGGCTGGGTATTGGTCGGCAGGTGGTGAGCGGTTGTATTCTCTTCCCTTGTTATTTCCCTTATCATTATTATTATTGGTGGCAGCAGTAGTGATTTGTGTTATACCTTAGTTACTGGACTGCTCTTATCTCAACCTGTGGGAGTTACATTCTTTCAATTCTCCTCCCCATCCCTCTGGAAGCGGGGGGACGAAGGGAGGGGGAGTGAGCGAGTGGCTGTGTGGTTCTGGGTTGCTGGCTGGGCTTAAACCATGAGAATGGGTCATTTATGAGGCTGTGGTACCTCTCACTTCCCAAATGCTTTCACTTGATTAACTGGAACATTTAAGGCAGCTGAGCAGGGCCATGCTGATGTCCCTGCCTAATGAAACACATACAAGAGAGAGATGAGAAGAGCAGATAATTTTGTTCTTAAACCACACAGGAGCCACACACAGACTATAACTATCTCAAATCCCACCATGATCTTTGCCTCTGTAGCAGCTCACACGTAGAGGAAAGCAGCCCACTTGTGAACTTACCCCAGCATGCCTGCAGTCACAAAGACCATCCAGAGGTGGTTTAAGCTCAGAGTGAAGGTGTAGGCTATCATTCCCACAAGAGACATGATATAGACGACAAGTGTTGTCTGTCTGCAAAGAAAAGCAGAGTCAGGGCTTTGTTTAATCCAGTCCTCCTTTTTGCTCACAGAATATGGTATAGATTGCATAATGTGGTTAATAAATAAACACTATAGGGGGCTTTGTTCTCTGTGGAGTTGGGTTACATCATATCTGTAAGGAGCCACCTATGAAGAAGCCACAAAACTCAGATCCTATCATGGTCTAACAGGTCCTTGGTCGTATACTGTACATGCCTCTTGAAAGGGAGAAGAAGAGCCAAATAAAGAGATCATTAGCCTTTTTTAGGCACCCTCTGTACTATAACCAGTTGGACACGTTTATTTATAAGTAGGATTTGAGGGTGATTGAGTATTCCCAAGCAGAAAAGCAAAGGGAAGCAGTGACAACACTGCTCCACTGTTATAGGCCTGTATTTTTCATCGCTGTTTAAAACACCTTTCATTGCTGCTCCTTTCTGTGTTTAAACTGCCTACAGCACTTGGAGAGATGACGTGCAAGCCCAGTTGCCCTCACAGCCTCACCCTCAAGCCAGGAAAGTGTTTAGCAGGGACAGTGCTAGTTCCACAGCCATTGGCAGCTGAGACACAAGCTCTCATCTCTGGGCAGAGGGGACAAAAAGACCCTGTGCCCAGAAAGCATGCCAGGCAGGTCCTGGGAAAAGCCAGATCCTGGGAACTGCCAGACCTGCAGCCTGCCCACGCTGAGAAATGTCAGTGGGCTTGGTATTGCGAGACACATGCAGCAGCCCACGCCAGCTTTACCAGAACTGAAACATTAGCAGTTGTCATTCCTGATTAGACACCAAGGAAACTCTTCCTACATCCTCAAAACAAAGCTCTTTCTAGTACCGGAGGTAGCAAGCAGCCCTTCACAGTACATAGGCTTGGAAAGGAAGGAAAGGTAAATCCTTTACCTGAATTAAATTCCACCAGGATCTTGAAAGCAGAACAGTTACCAGAGTTGACAAAACTTTTTGGCCATTGTCTTTTGGGAAGAAGTTAAATGCACAACCACAAGCTACTTGTGTACCCTCTACCAAATTTTCGTCTTAATCCATTAAAGAATGTGTTTGGTGTCAGGTCCTAGAATTCTACTAAAGAAACTAAACCTCAACCTATTTTCACTTTTTCTTTTCTTTTTTAATGCAAATGACTACTGTTAAAATACAAACCCAAACAAACAGCCCAGACCATATTGTGTAAGAAAATATTTCGGTACACTGTATTGCTACAGATAAAACCAGAATGTTCCAGCTAAAGTTCTGTCCTCCCTCACTGCTGCAGTGACTGAAGTCAGTGGAGCTCATGCTCATGTGTCAATTCTTATCCAAATAGAGGCCTGAGAAGCAAATTTCAGATTTCCAACTATCGACTCATACTTACAAAGGTTCACCAGACACATTTAATGTACTGAAAAGCTAAACGCATTTTGCTGTGACAAGTAATTGTGTTTTGTATCAAAGGGGTAGGCAAATTCCTTAACCACCAATGCTGTATCATTTCTAGAATATGTTCTTTCCAGGGCTTTCATGGAGGACAAAGTCACCAGTGAAGGCAGCGTAAGGGGGCCACTTACTTCTGCTATAACCCATTATAGAGAGCTTCTACATGGCTGGCAAACAGTCTGGAAGCTGCAGAAGGAGAAGAGCTGAAAGACTAACAGAGGAGCTAGAAAGCAGCCCCAGAAAGTGAAACAGAAGCAGGTAAAAGCCTTTTTCTGACCAATACAGGCTGCTCAGATATCTCCCATGAATTGTTACTCCTCCCATCCCTTGACAAGCAGCCACAGAGTAACAGTAATGACTAGGAAAGGGGCTCAAGGCTGGAACTACAGTTCCCTGGATTGCAATGGACCAAGTTTGAACTGGGTGCTCCTCCCATAAACAGGAGTCTCCAAATACATGGCAGTCAGTGCTATAATACAGTGCAAGCCTTCAAGAGGTGGCTGTGGCCCTAAGAAGCTTAGCCTCTGCCAGGAGGGACACCTGAAAAATGTTTATTATTTTTTTGTTATCCCCACAGCCAGTTTTGGTCTCAGTGCAGAGCTCTTAGGATAGCCCCACAAAATCTCACACAGGTTTCCTAGGCTTATGGTTCAAATATTCAAACTAGTTTGTATCTGATTCAGTCTGTCCTGACAGCTAACAGTTGCACTTTGCCCCTCATCTCCAGGCAAAGGTGATAAATGAGTTAGCGACCAGATGTGGTCAGGACTTTGTTTCACATTGATGCTATGTCATTAGTCAAGCTGCAAGAAAGAAGTTCCCAGAACATGCAGCCCCCCAGATGAGAACTCGAGCAGGCAGGCTCACAGAAGCAGGCAGCTGCTGAAGGTGTTCTCCGTTGGAACTGCAGAACTAAGTGGGAAACAAAATGGAAATAACTGTTTGACCTTGGCATGAGTACTTTATCTACCACACATTAGCTAGCTCTAAGAGAGTACAACCTTTCCTCACTGACCTCCATGAATCATTAGGCTCCAGCATGACAAAAGAATCAACAGACCCTTATGAAAGAGCAAGGCCACGTGCTTGAGTTGTGTGAAAATCATGCACCAGGAAGCATCCTGAAACCATGCACTTGCGTGGCTGCCTGCTCACCACAGTCCCTAACTGGGACTTGAGCAGACAGCCCTGAATGCAACTCCTGCTGCAGAAAACAGTCTCAAGCACACAAGCAGACTTCTGCTAAACCACACTTTAGCAAGACCCAGCTCCCCTGTGCTTAACACTGGTGACAAAAAAGATTTAGTGTCCAGTACTCCAAGCAAGGCTCAGATGTTTTGAAAAGGGTTTAATTGAGACACAGGTAGACGCTGGTGTGTAGGGAAACAAAGAAAATCCTGGGAAAAGACACCAGCAAGTGGACTTTATCACCATGTTCACTAGAAGACAAGAATGCTCTGTGGACCCTAGGGGCATGGAAGAATGCCCTGTTCTCTTTGATAAGCCTCTTATCATAGCCATATATCTTATGACAGAGATAAAAACACCAATGAGGAGAAGCAGATTCGTGGCATTCTGGCTTTAGCAACCTGTTCCCATGATGGCCCTACAGGGACTTATAATTGTCTGGAACAGGTACCATCAGACTCCCTGCAGGCTGAGTAGTACAGTGAGTGCAGACTGGAAGTTACTGCTAGATCATCTTAGGACAATTGGGGTTAATCTACCTCTGTGCCCTGGGATTTGCAAAAAATACCCAGTGCACTGATGTGGAAGATGTGAAGGAATGCTACAAAAGCACCAGCTGCCAAGTCTCTGCGGGAGAGCCAGAGGAACATCCAAAAAGGAGCTGATACCCTTGTCACTTTGGTGAACCTGAAAGCTGCCCTGACATTTATCTGCCCTCCCAACCACATTCTCTTCCCTTCTGTAGAGACAGAGTGCTCACACAGTGAGAAAAGAGAGACCTTGAGGGAAAAAAGCCAGCGAGGGCCAGCACCAGCTGGGACTGAAATGGAGAGCCCAACTCCTGCTGTTCAGCCAGCTTCAGAGGAAGCCTAAACTCTGTGTGTATATTGATGTTTTGCACACCAGGTAATAATCCTGCTTCTGGGACAAGACTAGAGTAAGGAATGGGCATGGCCCAGCCCAGCAGCATCTCACAAGGTCACTTGGATAAGAAAAGCCAAAGGGACAGGACCAGACTCACAGGGGACTGAAGATGCAAAAACACTAAAGTCAAGCAACATCTGAAGCAACAAATGAACAAGGGGCGGGAGGCAGGCCACAGCCACATGCCACAGCTTTAACTGCTTACTGGGATGTGTACAGCTCCAGAGTGCTCTGCTGTGCAGACTGGGATGACAGACAGCCTCCACAGGCTTTGCCGTGAGCACATTCCAGCTTGCACAAGGCTCTAAACAAAGGCCTTGTCCTGTACTTCCAGGAAGATCTCACTGCTGAAGACACTGAAGTTAAAAGCTGGAGAAGGGAAGAATTAGAGGGCTGGTTGGGTTTTCACCAGCCCCTCACCCCTCAGTATTCAGTTTTTGTTGCTTTCTTCTTGTATGAAGGTCACAAAAAGAGGATAGCCCTGGTAAGTCCTCTTCTGGGAGGAAGCCATATGTGTTACACAAGGACTAACCTGGAAAAGGGCTCCAACAAGATGATCCAAATTGCAAGCCAGGCTAGACTGAGAAAGCACCTTTCAGTGGAAGAGACCCAAGTGCCCCCATTCTCCAATATCCAAGACTGTTCTCCCACCCCAAATTTTGACACACTTTGTGCCTGTACAGACCTAAATTTAAAAAACCACTTGGGGTCTTTTGCCTAGTCAATACACAGAGGTGAATATTTCTGACATCGTGACTTACACAGATGCAGTGATGACAGCAGAGTGTGCTGTCTGGAACCAGCTGGACCCGAGGCCATGTGAACACTGCCCCTGAAAGCAAAGCATGGCCAAAGAGATGCGCTTAATCCAGTCCCCAAACCCCTGATTCTGAGCCAGACTCCTCTACAAATACCAACAAACCAGCAGTTTCTAAGTGTCACAACTCCCTCTCTCCTCTAGGACATGAACCTGAAGGAGGTACATGAAGCCTCATTTAACTGGATGTCAAAACACATTCTTTTGAAGAAGTGGTTGTTCCTAAGAAGTCATCCCACCAGAGGCAGCCCCAGTTCTGGGACTGCTTGCTCATCACAGCGTAACTCACGTTTCTGGATGGGCCAAATCTGTGCCTCCTAATTCCAAAAATAAGAATAGCACAGCGACTTGCCTGCCAAATAAAAGCAAGAATGCAAGGCCATTTGGTGCCTGAGCATGACAGATGGGGAAAGCCTGACTTAGCATAGCCTTACCCTTTCAAGGAACTGCTGATAGGACAGTAAAGATCAAATACGCATGTAGAGCACTGTAATTCTTTCTCTCACTAACCTCCCCCTGCTTCCCTCAATCACAGCTGGATCCCATTCATTTGCTTCCCCTTCTCTCCACACTGACTAAAAAAAGGACTTGGTATCTTTCCTTCCTGATTTTCATGTGCTTACCATTTAGTTCCTGACACTATCTGAGCAGCAGAGGGAAGGGGGAGGGTACCTACCTAGAACATCTGGCATCTTGACAGTTTAATTTTTAAATAGACTTTTAAATGGGGCTAAATAAAGACTCTGTAGCACTCAAAAATTTTGCTAGTTCCACATAAATCCACTTTGTGGGCTGAAATGGAGAAAAAAATTCTTAGCTGTGTTTTTCCTCACCTAAGGCTAAATCTATCCCCTGATAGTCCCTGGAGTCTGCAGGGTAATTTCCATAACCCTATTTTTCTGCACTCTCAGTCAGCTGTGCCTACCTATGTGGTCCCTTCCAAGCAAGCAAGCATGGTCTTGTTTTCCTAGCCCAAGATACCAGGTAGGATAACGGCAGTGGGACTCCCCCAGGAGAAAAGCTGCTGCAAGGAAAAGAACTCCAAACTGCCTTCAGATCATTGCCAGTACACCACCAGTAAAGCCCAGATAAAAGATTATAGCCCACAGAGAGCAGAGAAACTGTAAAACTATTTACATGGACCCCAACATAAGACAGGAGAGGCACTGTCCATCCCCTGGAAGACCCTACAGAGGTCTGTCAGTGAGATCTAGGCTCCTCAGGACTGGGAGCTCCAAGACACCCAAAGATTATTAATTGTCCCTTCACAAATGGCAGGGTATGCTGGCCAGATCTGCCTTCCCAAACCACCAAGCAGCAAACCCAGAATCATCCACCTGCTACCCCAATATTCCTTATGCCTGCCCTAAATTCAGCAACGCGCCCTCACACAATGCCTCTGGGCACTGGATTCAATGTGCCTTTCACTAAGCCAGACAAAGATTCACAGAAGCTGGATTGTAAGGGCTGAGAAATGGTCTGGTACAGTCTTGATTCTGCTTGTGCCAAGAACTCTCTCATCCCTGACAAAGAGGCCATCTCATCCTCTCCCTATGCCTCCTTAGGGACCACTACTGCAGACTAACACACAGCTTTAAACTTCACTTTAACTGGATTTCGAAACCAACATTTTTTTCCTACAAACCCTCCCTGGACTGCTGACTTGCAGCTGCACAGGGTTGCTCCTTGCACAGTATGGGGGAACAGCACAGCCATTAGTCAAACAAGGAACTTACTTGTAGGTTTTGGTTCTGTCCAACCAGACGCCAGAGATCAGAGCCCCAGCCATACCCGACAGTATAATGGTGAGTCCAATCCTGCCAGCATTCACCTCCTGCCTCTGTGGCAAGACATACAACACACACAAATGCAGGAGCAAAGTCATAGCCAACAAGGAGCAAAATACAGAGAACTCAGGAAGAGACACCAAAGTTGGTGTCCATGCATGACTTCTGCTGATAACACACTAACCAAAACTAGCCTTTGCAAGAACACTTTGGGTCCCGCTGTGAGCCAATGCAATGCTCTATTCTGGCCTATGAAGAAAAGTGGTTTGGCACTTTCTCTGAGCCAGCCCATTAAAAGAGGTGAGCACTGGCCAGTGTGAACAGATACTCTCAGAGGAGTCAGCATAAACCCTATGAAGCTTGCTGTGCAGTGTTAGGACTTGGGCCAGATCAACCAGGAAATACTGGGAACCACTATAAGACAGTACAGAAAGGAGCTCTCTGGCATGCAGCCCCAGCAGTAAACTTTATTTAGCTCCTGAGGCACCCCACCCTTCTGCCACCAGAGCACAAGTGCAGGCAGCCCTTGGGGTACAGATGTCCCAGTAGAAGTCACTGTAGGAACAGGGTGGAGGCAATTGCTGGAAGACTTTCTTAGACAAAAATGCTATCATTTAGAGTGTAAAGGAGCTGTCTTTGATAGGGCTTGCCAGCTTTTGCACAGGGTGGTGTCAAGAACTAAAGGAACTAATGCTCTCTTGCCAGTCAGCCAACTTGTGCCAGAGCCAGTCAGAAGTGTTGTGGCATTGCATTTCTCACAGACTATCATTCAACAGCCAGTGCAAGCATCAGAGGGTCATGAGGGTTGGATACACTTACTGGGTAGTGATGGATCACCATGCGGTTCAGCAGAGTGGACAGGGAGTAGAAGCAACCTGCATTCAGACCTGAGAGGGGGATAAAAATGCAGCACATTCAGAACCTGCCACTCTCCTGCTGGGTAGCAAAAGGGTAGAAATTCAGGGAGAGGTATCTCTGGGAGCAGTGATCTATAACAAAGCTGCTGACTCTCAGGAGGGCCAGCCAGACACAGGTTACTGAAAGAAAAGCAGACAGACCAAAGACAGCCAGGTGTCAGCATGCACGAGGAAGCACCCTGCAGTTTCAGGATGGTTCTTACCTTGGCAGCTAGAGGAAGGGCTGTGAATACTGGTACTGAGAGGGTCTTGCAAGTCCTTCATAGGGTCTCAACCCTCCCTCACACCCAGATCCATCTTTACCATTGGAGTTTTGTCCTCCCCCCAGTCAAGGTAAAATACTAGAAAAGCACCTGCCTCAGCATTACACCTTTAGTACGACCTGGGATTCGATTAACACCAGTGCCATTGACCTGTGCAGTTTCCTCCCAGATAAGAGCCTGATAGCACTCTCCCTGCTGACAGCCAGTAAAAACCCTCTCAAAGCTGAGAAACACCAGAAGGCAAATAAGAGCAGAGCCAATGGGGCAGCACAGACAGCATTTCCCCCAGGCACCTGGTGGGGGTGTCTGCATAAGAAAAGTCTTGCATTTTAAAAGGTATCACTGAAGCCTGAAAAAAAAAACCAACAACCCGCTGTGAAAGTAATTGTCTTTCTGAAAGGGAAGTCAGATTAACTGTTACAGGCATCAGCCACCTGGTGAAGGTTTCTCAGTATCACCCAAGGTGAGAATGGAAACCGTTGGGTCGATACTGGTCAAGCCGCACTTAAGCCACTCTGCTCCAGCATACATGCAACTCTGGTTAAATTAAATGTCTTCCCAAAGAGCACAGAACCCAAGGGTTTTGCTTGCAGTACAAGAGCATGCACAGGGGCGCCAGACCAGCAGTACTGCAACGGCCACACTCTCACCTTGGGCGATACTGAGAAACCTTCCCCAGGTGGATGAGGTCTGTAACAGTCAACGCAACTTTCTTCTCAGAAAGTCATTTACATTTGCAGTTAGTTTCTCCTGATGGGGGAGGGATGGGGCCACAGATTTCACTACTGCATCTCACACATCTATAGGCTCCATAAGGAGGCATCAGTTTAAAAACTCTGGCACAGATGCCCAAAATCCTGACAAAGCACATACATGTCAAGTTCCCACTTCCTACTTTTCCTTTTTCAGCCTCAGATAAGATGAAAAACATCACAATATATAAAACAGAAGTGCAGTCTAGCAGACAGAGCTTTGAAAAAGGGAACAATATCCTCAGCTTCCCAGGTCCCTGAAGACCTCCATCTCCCCTGACCCTAAAGTACTTGGTTATCTGTGCCTAGCCCATCTTCCACTGGGACACTGGATACCCATTGCTCTACACAGCTCATGAAGTACTGTGAGGAGCCACAAGACTGGCAGCTACAGGGGACATCACACTTCCTTCACATGCCCTCACTGACAAGATTAAGCAGAACTCGCTCCACACCTTTATGGCACAGAGAACAGATGACGAATCTTATGCACGGGATCCCAAATAAGGCAATTTCCTGCGACAACACTCCCTGCTCTAAAAGCAGGTATCAGGAGATTACAGGAGAGGCTAGTAAATTGAGTGACAGGCTCTTTAGGTGAGAGGAATCCACCCAATCCTTTCTCAGAGTTACTCAGAAGGGCTGGAAACTCCAGCAGGGCCAGCAGTCAGAGAAAAGGAGATCTTGCAGCAATGAGGCACCCTGCAGCCTCAAAACCTGCCTCTTTGCAATACTAGGCTACGGCAAAACAGCCCACAAGAGCTTAATTCGACCTCACCCTTCCTCTACCTCTGGAGCACACTGCTCACTGGGAGACACCACAAACTGCAATGCCAGGACACGGAAGTGTGGCAAATCAGCACCATCCCTACTACCCACTACTCCTTCACTTCAAAGCTGGACATAAACAGTTCATTTACCAGTCATCTGTGTTACCTCTACTTCTCATCCAGCCAAGAGAACGGCAGGCTTGTGGGGACAGCCAGATGCTGCTCTGGTAGCTGATGCTGTCAGTACCCCATCTTCACAGCAGCTTTGTGAAGCATGCGATACCCAAGAGAAAGAAGGGACCCTGCTCACAGGCTGGGCAGAAAGTAATGCAGAGTTGGCACCAACACTTGGCACCAGAGTCAGGCAAAATATTCTAAGAATCAAAACAATATACTGAATTTGCATTCTGGGGGCTGGCAAAAGTTGTAGGTATTCCACATGTCACAGTTGCTCAGTGAAGTTTCTCCATAAATTACATCTGTTTGAATGCCCATAAAACAAGCAACTTGTTTCCAGTGGGGTAGTGCCCATTTAACCAGTCTTTCCCACCCTTTTCCTGCCTACCGCCTCCCAGCAGCAACATGCTTTCCAATGCAGAGCCCAACCCAATAAACTCATAGTTTGTTAATACCCATTCTGGTTTGTGTCTCAGCTTTACGGAAGCAACGTCTGCAGCCTTTGGGAAAAGCCTGTCTGAGGGCTTTCCTGAAAGACAGCTCACTAGCACTAACATAGCCACAGTGCCACCAATGCTTCCAGTGCTGCAAGTCCTACCCCGGGAAAGGGGCTGGCAGCTGCTGGTAACATCAAGACCTTAGAGATCTGCAGATCTGTTCTGAACTGGTACCATGTAAGAGCTCCCATTCTTTCTACAGCCAGGGAAGATGAACAAGAAGCAGGTTTCACCCTCTCCCCCTGAAACATACTATGCGAATACAAAAGGCTGCAGCTAAGAAGGATGACTGTTGCACTCCTGTGGCTGCAGATGTCTTACATCTTGGCCAGCATAACTTTTGACTTGAGTAGGAAAAACTGTCCCCACTTTCAAGCCAGACTAATTAAAAGAAGTTTCACGGCACAGTTCCCTCTCTGAGTAACAGTCATCATCTCAAGACAACCTAGAGATCAACGTGAGGCTGATGCAGAGGAACAGAATAAAGGCACAGACCAGCAGAGACTGAATTAGAGGCCACTGAACTGCCTTTCCACATCTTTTTGACAGCCAGAAGGGAATTATCTCAGGGAGGTCAGATTCTAAACATACTTTTCACACCAGAAGTCCTCTTCTCTCCTCTAGAACTCATTTACATCTACTAGAACAAGTGCTTTCCCCCTTTCTTTTATCTAAAGGGTGTGAACTGAGCAGATGACACAATTTCAGATAGTCTGCCTGACAGTTTTTCTTATCTCTGCTTTCTGAGAGGACATCATGTACTACGAACCAAAAAGCCAAACCAGCAACTGCAATGCAAACCAGTAGAGCTTAAGGGTGATTCAAGAGGGGCACTGAAAAGGGAGCAGAGAATTCAACAGCTCTGAAGACCATTAGCACCCTCAGCAGGTACAAAGCCACAATCTCATTCACTCCAACCTGGCTACTCATCCACCAGGTTCTTTAGGCACAAATGCTGGCAGAGCGGCAGAACTTCCAGCACTAATTAACTCTCCCCCTGAGGAGCTTCCACAGCAAGCTGGTAGTTAAGTGAAGACAGAACTCCCTGCAGACTAGCTGGCTACAGTATATCCTATTATGCAGCCAGGCATAGACCACAATGACCTTTCTGCTAAAGAGAAAAATACTTTTCCATATGAGAATTCAGCATCTGGAACAGATTCAACACATCACATTGCCCTCAAAGAAACAGACCAAGACTGCTGAAGAGAAGCGAACAGCAAAGCCAGTATGCAAAGACAGATGGCAAAAGATGACATTCTCAAAAATCCTTCCTTCCACTTGCTTCACATGAGGAATGCCAAGGAAGCTGATGCAGTCTGCACTTGTGCGTACTCCATGTGACCTCCTCTGGGATGCCTGGCAGCCATAACCTTGCCTTGGGAAATCACCTCCACTCAGTGCTGCGACTTGCACTTGCTTACACATAAACTCTATACATTTCTTAGATTAAGATTAGTTCATTGCAAGTAACTAACAGCAATAGGATAGGGAAATCCCCTGAACAGAAAACAGTCAAAGACCAGGAGAACAGTAAGGGGAGTATATTGTCATGTGTGTGCTTGCCTTGCTTTTGTTATCCTCTAGGCATTTGCTTGTAATCACTACTGGAGATTACTGGGCTAGAAGGACTCCTGGTCCTCGTGCAACAACCCAGGCCCAGCAGATCATGGAGAGGGAGGGAGAAACTAAGCATGTCTAGAAGTGACAACTGCACACAAAGGCCAGACCTTACCGTAAGTGACCATAAGTAGCACGAAGTTGGCATTTCGGAACAGACGGAGGATTGATTGCATGTAAGAATACTCCTCCGTCGGTTGTGACTGGACCAAGGCCTGAGCTCGGCTTGGAGGGTGCAGGGGCTTCTCCTTGAAGACTGAAACCAGACACAAAGCACACATGTTTGTAGCACTGCAATCAAGGAGCTTGAACACCCACTGTGGGTATAGCCATTTGAGGTACGGCAGAGGAGCTAGTAAAACCAAGAGTGCAAATCACACCATCATCATTAAGCTTTGATCTCCATACACAAATTTATCCAGCAGTAGCAGAGAACAGGGTCTTTCAAATAGTAACTCCTGACACTGGGAAAACACCCTGCCTTCAAGGAGCTTTCTGTGTAGGCAATGCCTCCAGCAACAAAAGAGTTCTCAAGCTAATGATGCCTTTAGGAGGGTGGCCAGCAAGCAGCTAGTGTTGCATGGAGTTACAAAAGCGTAAGGGAAATGGGAAAAGCAGCTGGCAAAGGTGGCCTGGTGCCCTGCAGTGCCCAGTGCCTGCAGAGCCATGACCTATGCCAGGTTTTATTTCAGGCCTGGCACTTGTTAGGATGGCCAAGCTATCTGCTGTCCGTAACTAGCAATAAAGTAGCAACCAGAAATCGCAGCCACAGGTCATACTGCTGTTCCAGGTGCTAGACAGCCGTTTTTGAACCATGCCTATTCCTTCCCCAGATTCTTTAAAGCCTACATCTGATTCAGCCACCAGGCAACAGGAACAAGCTGGCAGGAAAGGCCTAAAACAACCCAAAACATGGATTTTATCAGACAAGTTCTGCTCTCCAGTGAGTGTGCCAGTCTTTCATGCCAAAGTTTTGGCTTCCACATCACATGTTAACCAGGGGAGTTGCACCTCTGGTGTCCTGATACTGCTCTTAAAGCCTCCTTTTCTCAACTCACAACTGGTTACCTTTTTTTCTCCTGGGAACAGCTTCCTCCAGTGATAACATACAACCTGTCTCTTCCTCCCTTCCCTTTACAGGTAGTTAGGTCCAAGACACAAACCCAAGTCCCAGCGCCCTGTTTGCAGGCAAGATGATCTGTGAACCTCCCAAGATTTCTGTTAGCTTTCAAAGGACTTAATGCATGCCAGGGTTTTATCATGCAGGCAAAGGATAAATTTAACAATTTGGCAGGTGCTCCCAGAACTTCTTGTACTCCCTTCTACATGTGCTGTTCATCAAGGGCTTCAAGTGGCAAGATATGGTATAGTATGACCCTGTCAGCTGTTTGCTAGGACACATCCCAAGATGACCTCCCCAGCCCACTTCCTAGCACTCAGGCCCTTACACACAGGCTGATCTTCTCAGTCCCACCTAGTTTCATTATGCCACCTCCTTACCTATGACGACCAGGATGAATAGGGCTGTTGCTACGCCTGCAGTCATGAAGAACATGATGCTGATGTGGTAGGCCAGCTTCTCTGCATCATCCACATTGGGAACCAGAACTGGAGGGACCAGGAAGCCCACAGCGATGCCGAGCTGAGCAGGAGAGGGGACAAAGAGAGGTGTGACATGGAACCACATCACTGCCACCACCCCACAGCTCAGCCCCCTGATGCCCACTAAGGGCTCAACTGAGCCTAATCCAATTTCACAGACAAGGTGAAAATCTTCTTTAGCATCCAACAGTTAAGAGATAAAAGCCAGCTACCCATTGCAATTAGGCCATGAGAGGTCCCCCCACTGCACTCACAGCTGTCAGGATATTCAAGGCAAGGTTTTACAATAGAATTGAGCAGAATGACTACCCACTCCTATCGAAGTAGAGGTCTTGCTTCCCCTGTCCTCCCATCCACACATGTTCCTGTCCACACACACATCCCACCCCTTATTTTGCACCTGTTGTGATGCTGGCCTGATGACCTGGGAATCCAACTTTGCACATTAAGAATGGCAGAAAACAAGACCATCAAAGCACACTGCAATTATTTGCTGTGTTAATGAGTTGAACCAAATTATGAGAGAAGCGCAGGGGCCTAGAACAGAAACCTGCCTACTCCTAATGAGTGAGATACTCGTCTGGCACAAACACTTCATGACAGTTTCCTAATGAGCCCCCTCCTTAGACAAGGCTCAGGCTATGACCACTAGAAGAACCCAGAAAAACAAGGTTGAGAGCAAAGGAAGTGTTGATGGCATGTATCCTAAACGTCGAGGTTGCGTGATGGGGCTTGGCAACTGTCCCTGGATAAAATGCTTGGCTCTGAAGGGCTCCAAGAAGACACCCTGCAGGTCTAGCCTCTCCTGTGAAGAGCCACACAGGTGCAGCTGAGGGGCTCCTGCAGTGACAGTGCACACTTTAGTGAGGTCATTAGAGTTTTTAACTCCACAACTATTTCCCCAGGGCAGTGACAAGAAGCTGTAGCAGCACGGACTGCCACACCAATAACTGCAACTGACAGTGGCACCCTCAAATAGGAGAGGGAGAAAATAGTCACTTTGGTGCTTAGGAGCACACTCCTCACAAAGGGGGAGCCAAAGTGCACCCAGTACACTCCTGAGGACTCTAAACACAAGATGTTCCTATAAATGCCACTTTCTCCCCTTCGTGTTGCAGGGTTTCTGGCTGAGCTCCAATCACTGTTTGGTTCTCAAGTGTATTTACCTGTTCCCCTGACCCTTCCCAGCACCTGCAGCCCTCTCAGACATCAGAGAAAGAGCCACACTTGAGCTCAGCTCTTGCTTGCTCTCAAGGCTCTGCACACTCACCCATTTGGGGCAAAAACAGTTTTTTGTTTTAGCAACACCCTCATTTTTTTGCTATTTCCCAAGTTAAGCCTACATTGGCTCTTGTGGACATTGACAAGGCACACACAGGATCCTCCAATAGATAAAAGGACTGAGAAAGCACCCAAGAGAGAGATGCTAAGTGGCCATGCAGCTGTTCTCATACTTGCTTGAAAGAGATTTCCAATCTCTTTTGCAGGTTGTACCATTTGCCTGGAGACAGGAAAGCACCAACAGTACCAGAACAGTGCTAACTTAACCAATACAGACCAACAGCATAAAAAAAATCCCACCCACAGTGGTTTATTCAGCTACACCAGTACAGCCCTTATAGAGCCACTGCCCTCGTCACAGTACGAGTGGAGGTAGAAGGTATGCAAAACATAGACATGAGGATATAGTCAAATTCAGCCCACTGAATTTACTGTTTCTTTATAGGAAACATTAGATCAATAGGAATCAGTTAGCACCACCATGACCTGTTGTGCCTGTATAATGGACTGTTTATGCCTCACTAACTACTGAACAGCAGCAAGACGGCACCACTAGCCAACTGCTGCCCTGCAGAAGGGTTCTGCAGTGCTCCCTGTTTTAACAGTCCCTGGAAAGGGTCTATTACTCCATAGGTATGGAAAGCAAGGACTAAAAAAGGAAAGGACTATCCACCCATAAACTACATCCAAACATGTCAGCATACACAGCAGAATGACCCAGGAGCCCCTTAACCCAGGCATGAGCTCAGACATATTGCTGCATTCTAGCAAAAACTCCTCGTGCTTTCTTCATGCTTTCTCTGACATATCTCTATGTTTCTGGGATGCTGACAGAATCGTTTTGGAAGACCCCCTCACTGTCCAGGATCAAGACCACAGAACAAATACATTTCAGGTGCCGTATCTGGTAGCAGTGATAAAAATCAGCCTGTGCTGTTCAGCCCCAGAAAACTCTCCACAAACTCCCTCCTCCTCTACCTAGCTGGTGGATTTCTGAGACAGTAAGAACACTTGTTTCAGTCACAGCTATATGCTAGATGCAGGCACCCTATTTAGCTTACAAACAAGTAACTTTCAACCACATCTGGCCAAGTTTGTCTTGTGCCAAAGCTGCCCTGCACCTGACCTGGCATAGCCTGGGTCAGGATCAGCAGCAGGCATCTGTACCAAGTTCATTTTTGGTGCTGGGTCATCACAGGCAGCCAGTTGAAAGAGTCACTGGTCGATTATAGATGTGCCCCATAGGTTCAGGACATTGTTAGGAATGAAAAGATTCAGGGTTGGCTCTAGCAACACAAGTTACATTTTATACTTCAGAACAACTGGCATCATTAATTCTATGAAGATGAGGCCCCTTGACTTGACTAAAACTGAAGATTTCCTGCAGGGTACTCATAGACCCTGGATTATTCATACTGTTTTTAGCAATGAAGATAACCTCTCAAAACCACGATGAATATTATACAGCCTTACCTTTCACAAGGAAATGTTTAGCCTGGTTGACAGCAGGCCAGTGCCCACATAACCATCAGCCCAACAGCCAACACTGTAACTGGTTAACCAGAAAATTTAAAGATGCCTTCACAAAGGACAAATAACTTTTCTCCCTTCTCCACACCTCTCACGTCTGGGCTGGGAAAATAAAGCAATGTAAAAACAAGGATGGTTCTGCAACAATCTGTGCTACCCTCCTTACAGAGATCATCGGTCATTAGGGTTCACAGTGCAGTCCCTCTCACCAGCATACAAATTAGCATCTCCAACCTCTGTACAGGCAGAAAGTCTCCAAGACCTGTACAGACAGATAGGCTCCAGTTACCCAAACTTGACATAGCATACAGCATCCCCACTCCCAAAGCACAGACCATTATCCTGATCCCTGTGAATCTCTTCTCAGGAACCAGGCTGGTACTTTATTTTAAGGTAATTTTTAAACTGAATACCAGGGAAATCAACAACTACAGCAGAACACACTGGTCAGATGACTTATTATTTAAAGACTGATAAAGCATAGAAGGAATGTATTTCCTACCTGAATTTTTTTCAGGGACCAGTCCCAACAACATCATATGCAACTTTCAAGCGTATACAAGAACAGGCAGCAAAACCAAGAGCAAATGGCTAATAAGATGGTATAAATGTACCAAAAGTCATGAAATGGAAAATGGGATGTGTAATTTAAGTTTAGCTGTTTGTATACTAAGAGTCTGCTGAAGGAAGATAATCAGTGCAGTATCAGCATAAAAACTGTAAATGCATGATCAATGGAGGAGTGGGTCTTCACCTTAAAGAAAACTAAAAGTCAGCAACAAGAATACAAAAGCCCTGTAAAATTCCATAAGTAAGCACAAGTATTGACAGAGAAGGCCACCAAACCCAGAAGGTCAATTAAAGTGTTAAAAAATAGAGAGAGATGCTGCAAGGGCAGAAAAAAATACAACTGTGAGAAAATCTGACAATGCCCTTGGAAGCTAAATAAGCGTCATGACGGATGATGCAGAGACTGCAGTTCTGGATTCCATAAATACACTTCTCTGATGAGAACCTTTAAGAGGCAGCACAACTTGTGATTTAGACCCAAAGCAGCACAGTGTGACCATGGTCAACATTACAGAATGGTTCTGCATGGCACTCAAATTCAGCTTCCTTGCAGCAGCAGCAGCAAAGAAAATCCCCGGTCTCCAGAGAACTATGGCAATATTCAGCTCAAGAGGGAGCTGCCTAAAAGGAAAGAAGCTTTGTTGAAGGGAAATTAAAAAGGGGAAAAAAAAAAAAAATTAAATCCTTGCAAGCGGTATTACGACTGTGTAAAGACACTACATCAGAGGAGCAGTTGAAGCCTACGGAATACAGCAGATCTTAGAACACCTTTACAAACTAAGTCAAACCTCTTCAAAAAGCAAAATCAGGAAGCCTGTCAGGAAGGCTGTAGGGCCAAAAGATGATCACTATGAGAAGTTTCCACATAAACAGAACCTCTTCACATCGTGAAAATCTGAAGCACTGTAAGTGGAAGATCTTCATTCATTTCAACTTCCTCTGAGGCATCAGGACCAGATGGTCAAAATCAAGTCAACAGAAACCCCCCACTTGCACACAAACACACAAAACTGCTATCTCCACTGATACCAAATATTCAAATCAGGAATGGAGGAAGAGAAAAGAGATCTGAATTTTTAAGAGGCCGAGCACAGGCAGGCATCCCAGGAAACCCTCAGGGCCAGAAGCCCTGGGGTTGGCCAACTGGGGTTGGCAGAAACTGTAGAAATCAAAAAACTGACATTTACACATTGTTACCAATACAAAAGGCTTTTCAGACACTATGATTTCAATGATCTCAGCAAGTTCCCAAGCCAAGAGTTAAGAGGACACACTCTTTTTTTAGTGTTTTTCCCTTAGCAGTTATCACTGATTGGCATGGAGCTGCTTGACAAATTTGACCTGACCTAAGCCAGGTGCTTCTCTGGTGGGATGCATTTGCAAAGGCTTTTTGGGGAAAACAAAAAATAAAATTAGATTCAATAAAATCAAGGACTTCACCTGCTCTCAGCAAAGAGAGTTCATTGCAGTTGTCAAAACAGCACTGCAGCTACTCTACTTTTCCACTCCTGTAAGAACGACCTTTAACAGGGTCCACACTCCTTCTGAACTGGGTATCAATCAAACAGACATCACTCACACCACCACCCCAGGATCAGCCTGGAGAACAGGAGAATCTAGCTACCTACCGCAGACCTCTCTTCGAGGAACATTTGTGCA